AAAAACCTCGTCAAGTGACATAACCGTCGTATCTACCAACGGTAGGCATTTATAAACAATACAACAAAACATCAAAGCACTCAAATGCTGTCCCCATGACCCTCAAGTCCACACTACACAGCCCCTTTGACACTGCCAAAAGCCGTGAGCTGCTCTACAGTTGCACGGTGCGACCTCGCGTCGTGACATCGTCTCTCATTACAGCCATGGGTGCCCTATTCACAGCTCTCAATGGGTCTCAAGCGGCGTGGCGAAAATGCGAAGCTCATCGCAATGAATGAAGGGAAATCTCTCACTCGGACGCCTTCACAGCCGCCTCGATGCCTCCCCGAGGCACACATTAGACTGTGTTGCAGGGGTTTCTATTATGAACAATTTTAAATGTTATCTTCATTAGGCAAGTCACGTTGAAAGAATCATATGAAAAATAAACACAACAAAACAATTGATCGACAAGTATTTTTTTATTAGAAAAACGATTTCTCTTCTCCAGCTGCTTTGTGGGGCATTCAGTAGCACAATATTCAGAATCTACAGTTCATGTTTATTCTGTTTCTGTATATCGTTTGTTGTTTCATCACGTACTTCTTGGATTGTTCATGCTGTATCAATCTAGCAATAATACACTCTATAACAAAATATATGGTTTGTAAGAACAGTTTTTTTTTATTTTGGTGGGGTTATTAAAAACCAGATTCCATCACTTCCTAGCAGATGATGATTCTGAAATGAAATATTTACACGGCCATCGCTATCAGGGTAGGTGAAGACAGTGGCGGGGCTGCATCACGATGCCCGCAATCGCGCTTGGAGCAGAACAATCATAGATAGCGTTACAATTGCTACTCGTGTGCAAACAGACGATTGGAAAAAATATCTCAAATTAAATTGTCGTAAAATAATCGCCAGCTTAGAATCTAATTGTGATGTATGTTGAATGACATTTTTGAGGTGCCGGCATTCCATGAGTTTGGGTATGAAGATAGAAACGAGCGCGAACCATGGATTTTTTTCTTACGGAAAATGGAACACGTCGGAGAGTATGTGTGTTGAACTTCTTTCGCACCCTACGTGGCGAACCGTGCTAATCGGAGAAAACGTTCACCGAGGAGATGTAGTGATGCTATGTGATTTATTGTACACGGCATGATCGTAAGAGGTTTAGGCTTCTTGGGGAGACAGACCTTCATTCAGCAGTGGAATGACCGTGGCTGATAATGAAAACACAATTTATTTTATTACGCTTGTTTACACAAAGAGTCTCAAGACGTTTTCAGGAGGGCCCTGCTAAGTTTTAACAGGAGAGGCCGATGTTGCTATTTGTGATTCCAATTGAGCGATTTTTCAGCATATCCATGTTTGACCAATACCAGTTACTCTCCATTGTATGTTCTTTGTTGTTTCTTATGGCAGAAACCCGGAGAACCCATAGGAAATCCATGCAGAACAAGAGTAGAACATAAAAACTCCGCACATAAGTCGTTCGAGTCGGGAATTAAACCTATATCCTTCTTGCTGTGAGAACAAGTGTTACGACTGCGTTGCCCTTGACTCATTCACGCTCTAATGCCACTGCGACATTTTTATTTTGCAAATGCTGCCATCTGCTGTTTGAAAAAAAAAGAAATTCTGCATTTCCTGCAGAGTTACAGTATCTTATTTATTCATGTATATACTGTAGGTTCATCTGCTTATTAACTGAATTGTTCTTCTAGATTACACAATATGTGATGATTCACTAATTCAAAATTTTCTCATGTTAAATACACACCTCAATTATTATTGTAGGAATAGATGTTACTCTGTGTTGCAGGGTGCACAGTTGTGGAATGATGGATGGTAGCTACACATCGCTACGTGGATAGGTTGGCGTGGGCCACCATACCCTCTCAGGCCACACACACATCCATACAATTGATGTGATTCCCACTGGCAGAAAGTTATACTGTTTGTGGAGGGTTTCGGCAGTTACTAGGCACTGCTCTAGATCGAGCTCATCTCCAATTTGAACGATTCCTCAAGTATGGATTGAGCCTGTGTGCAATTAATTCCTCTTATAGTAGAATAGCCCCTGAAAAATGAAATACGGAATGGGTAAAAATAATGTGCAAGAAAACTGCCATAATTCCTCCAAAATTAGTAAGAATGAAAATAAGAAAACTGCCCATTGTCTTATATTCCTTCAAAAGGCACTGTGGCAAAGCCTGACTCAAAATCAGGTTGTGAATTCAAAATACTTATTGGACTTAACTCAAACAACCTTTCCAAATGAATCAAATACGTTTTAATACATTGTGGGAAATAGGTTGTTATTATGATATAACTGATTCTCACCATATCTATTTATAATTTCCATTTATGGCTCAGAATTGCCAATATAAATGAGCATGGGTGAGTTAGCACATGTAACTACTCTACTGCAATTGCCTATCGTTAACATGTATATGTGCTTTACCAATAATGTACAGAACACCTCTTATCTGCGGTAATGTGGGGGGCCCATACCTCGTGACGCCTCTTATCCGCGAAAGCATCGTGAATATAAGTCCCGTTTCAGTAGATGTTGGGGGTCGGTCTTTGAAGCGCAGTGGGTGTGTGTATCTGTATCTTCATGTGTACCTGTGTAGTTATATGTCTCCGTCTCTGTCTGTGTGTTTTTCTGTGCGTATGTGGGTATCTCCGTGTGTGTGTGTGGCTTTGTTTTGTCTGTCGCTCACGGCCAACACCAGTAACGATTATCTGGACTGCCCGGTCGCATTTGGGAGACAAATGCGACCGGGCGTGGTGCTGGCCACCCAACCCCTCGTGTGCCGTGCCGGCCTTGATAGGTGCTCGCTAACAGCACTTGCCCCAACAGTCTGTTCAGGCTATAATACGGGGGATCTTTGTATTTTGTCTGTCTCCGTGCATCTCCATGTCTGTGTGAATGGCTCTGTGTTTTCGTGTCTTGTTGTCTCTGTCTGTGAGTGTTGTCTTGTAGAGCGAATGATCACCAGAAGTACCGTTTGTGCTAAAGCGTTTTTTAAATTAACAAATAACCCGCGGACACTCGGATGTATCATTCGTGTGACTCCCGTTATCTGTGAAAAATCATGGGTAATGGGATGCCATTTCGCAAACACTTATGGAAAAAGTCACGACTAATCACGAATAATAGGAAGAAAATGGTCACGGTGGTGGTGGTGGCGCATTTTTCTTGTGGGCTCGTGAGTCAGACGTCTCAACATTCACTGCCGGACATCTGTGGTGAAAGATGTTGGCCACATTTTCGCCAAAGATCGCACAGCTTTCAACAGCTACTTGGCATCATATGGTCTTCCTGCCATCAATGATATCATCTGCCCAAGGCTTCTCTGTCTGTGGGCCACGTTGTATAACTTGAGGACAACACTTTTTAACAATGCCCTACTTTCATCCATCCAGGGCGAACAGTGAAACTCAACCGTCGCCATCTGCTGCGTGTATTTTACCTGCTCAGACATGGATAAGAAATATGGACAATGACAAAGAAAATAAAAAAGCTCAAAAGTATCCAAATTATGGACAGATGAATACTTATTGGGCAGGAATTATTGCGAGCTGGGATGGCGAATGTTCGACAATAGCAAGTGTGAGCCTAAACGGAGAACAACCCCCAAGAGGACATGCACCATTGAGATGGAGCAATGGAATCAGCTCATGTGCAGATGCTAAATTGTTTGTTACATTGCAAGGCAGTGCGATGTGGCGACTTTGGGAGGCTTTGATCCAGCAGTAGATATATCGTGACTGATGATGAAATGTACGTATGTTCTGCCTTCAATAGTATTTGTATTCAATATTCATCCGTTTTGTTTTTGCTCAAAGATGACAATGGTTTGGGGAGGCCTTCATCTGCCTATAGACTTACCGTGACAAATGGTAATTCAAACGACATTTGTCAAGATGACAACGGACTTTTGTCTTCATTATATTTGCGTGGGCCTACACCTGATTTGTTTACGAACAGCACTGAACCTGTGCAGGTCGGCTTGCAATAACTGTGGTCTCAAGGGAAATATGCGGTCACGAAAAACATCGTTGAGAACCCCAAAACATTCTAGATTTGAAGCTTTCGTGACTGCAAGGGTTCATATTCTTAGGTTTTTTCGGTAAAGTCACGTAGGTAAAACATCAAAATTAATAAAAAATAAAATAAAAACAAAAATCACGACGTTTCGGAGGCAACACAAGTCTCCGTCATCAGGTGGGACCGTCACAGCCGGATTAGCTGCATCAAGATGCAGCTAATCTGATGACGGAGACTTGTGTTGCCTCCGAAACGTCGTGATTTTTGTTTTATTTTATTTTTATTAATTTTGATGTTTTACCTACGTGACTTTACCGAAAAAACCTAAGAATATGAACCCCAAAACAGGTTTGACATTAGCTCTCCTTGATTTTTTTTTTACAACCTAAAATAAATGTTGCCGCATTGCACATACGTCGGATAACTAAGCCAGACGTGTGACACCTGCAGGCATTTCGGCAGGTGCAACGCAAACTGTTTCTAGACCTTATCGCCCGTTTTCTCACGACTTTGGTAACATTCTCACCGGCCACAGGTGTTTGCGTGGCCACGCACGCTTCTCCCTGCGTGGGCACCGCGGCCGCACGCCCTGTGACCCAGCCGACCCACCACCACCGCCACCACCGCCGAGGGGGTCATGGCAAGACTCGCCACGTCCTCGTCATCCTGATCAGCGCGACCACCCCCCTCCCGCGCCATGCCCGTGGTGCTCGTGCGCACCACCAACCGCACGCGTCGCTTCGACTCCACAGGTGGCGCTGCCACCACCACCACCGCCACCACCACCGCTACCAGCAGCGGCAGTGGTGGTGGTGGTGGCGGCCACCACCGCCGCCGCTGCCGCCGCTCCGGGCCGCACCGGCACGGGGCGGAGCCTGCGGGGGCCCGCCTCGTGGGGGCGGAGGCAGCCGAGCGGAGCGCTGGAGCCGACGCCGAGGAGGAGGCAGCAGCAGCAGCGGCATTAGCAGCAGGAGCAGGAGGTGGTGGTGGAGGAGAGCGGGTGGCGGCCAGCATGGAAGAGCCGCTGCTGCTCTACGACTTCAGCGAGTCGGGGCAGGACGTTCGCGTCCGCTATGAATGCGGCGGTGGTGGCGGTGGTGTCACTGCGGGAGGTTCTGGTCGCGCCGCGTCTCCTTCGCCCGCCGCCTCCAGGCACGGGAGCCAGCTGAACGTGGGCACCGATGCGGGGTTCGGACAGACGCCCTGCACCACCAGACAACAACAACAGCAACAGCAGCAGCAGCAGCGGCGTGACAGTAACCCATTCACGGAGATCGCCATGAGCAGCTGTCGCTTCAACGGCGGCGTCATGAAGCCGCTGAGCCACCTGAGCGCATCGCGACGGAGCCTCCACGACGCAGACTCGGACTGCGCTTCGGCGTCGGGGACCAGCGCGGGCTCCCTGGCTGCGGGAACCACCGCAGCAGGAGGAGCAGCAGCAGCAGGGTCGGTGTCTGCAAGAGGAACCGAGGCTGCTGCTGCTGCTGCTGCTACTGCTGCTGCTACCACGGTGGCTTCCCGTGCCGAGCTCAGCTGTTCGGTGGTGCAACCGTGCGCGGTGTCGTCGGCTGCTACCGGTGGTGGTGGAGGAGGAGGTTCGCAGGCAGGAGCAGCAGCAGGAGGAGGTTCACAGGCAGCAGGAGGAGGAGGGCACAAGTCCAGCAAGAAGAAGCATCAGAACGTCGGCTACAAGCTGGGACACCGGCGTGCGCTCTTCGAGAAGCGCAAGCGGCTGAGCGACTACGCGCTCATCTTCGGCATGTTCGGCATCGTGGTGATGGTGATCGAGACGGAGTTGTCGTGGGCCGTCTACACCAAGGTGCTGGGGTGGCGGTCTCGTCCTCATCTCATCTCCATCTCTCCTCTCTCTGTGTTCACTGAGCGGCTCTTGTCGTCGTCGTCATCCCACACCACCAGCACCAGGGGCGCATGGCGCGGTGTGCGCGCATGCTGCTGCTGCTGATGATGATGTGCGCGTATGGAGGTCGTTATGTTGTGCGTGTGTTGTGTTGTGTGTGGTACTTCTTGTGTTGTGTGTGGTGGTGCTTCTTGTGTTGTGTGTCTTGTGTTGTGTGTGTTGCGTGTTGTGTTGTGTGGTGGTGCGTCTTGTGCTGTGTGTGTTGTGTGTGTTACGTCTTGTGTTGTGTGTGTTGCGTCTTGTGCTGTGTGTTGTGTTGTGTGTGTGTTGTGTGTGTGTTGTGTGTGTTGTGTGTGTGTTGTGTGTTCGTGTTGTGTGTGTGTTGTGTGTGTTGTGTGTTCGTGTTGTGTATGTGTTGTGTGTGTTGTGTTGTATGTTGCGTGTTGTGTGTGTTGTGTGTGTGTTGTGTGTGTTGTGTGTTCGTGTTGTGTATGTGTTGTGTGTGTTGTGTTGTATGTTGCGTGTTGTGTGTGTTGTGTTGTATGTTGCGTGTTGTGTGTGGTGCGTCTTGTGTTGTGTGTGTGGTGCGTCTTGTGTTGTGTGTGTGTTGCGTCTCGTGTGTTGTGTTTTGTGTTGTGTGTATGTTGTGTGTGTTGCGTGTTCGTGTGTTGCGTGTTGTGTTGTGTGTGTTGTGTTGTGCGTGTTGTGCGTGTTGTGTGTGTTGTGTGTGTTTGTGTGTGTTGTGTGTGTTGTGTTGTGTGTGTATTGTGTGTGTTGTGTTGTGTGTGTTGTGTGTGTGTGTTGTGTGTTGTGTGTTGTGCGTGTTGTGTGTGTGTTGTGTGTGTTGTGTGTGTTGTGTGTGTGTGTTGTGTGTGTGTGTTGTGTGTGTGTTGTGTGGTGTGTGTGGTTTGTGTGTGTGTATTGTGTGTGTTGTGTTGTGTGTGTATTGTGTGTGTTGTGTGTGTATTGTGTGTGTTGTGTGTGTATTGTGTGTGTTGTGTGTGTATTGTGTGTGTGTGTTGTGTGTGTGTTGTGTGTGTGTTGTGTGTGTTGTGTGTGTGTTATGCGTGTTATGCGTGTTGTGTGTGTTGTGTGTGTTGTGTGTGTGTTGTGTGTGTGTTGTGTTGTATGTTGTGTGTGTGTATTGTGTGTTGTGTGTGTATTGTGTGTTGTGTTGCGTGTTGTGTGTGTTGTGCGTGTTGTGCGTGTTGTGTGTGTGTGTTGTGTGTGTTGTGCGTGTTGTGTATGTGTTGTGTGTGTATTGTGTGTTGTGTGTGTATTGTGTGTTGTGTGTGTTGTGCGTGTTCGCACAGGCGGCCTCCGAGCGCGTGGCGTGAACGTCCCACCCCCCGGGTGATGAATTGCCATGACGCCTCTCACCGTGGTGGTGTCTGCGTGTGTGCATTGCCTCACTCACACAGCCTCACCGTGGTGGTGTTTGTGTGTGTGCATTGCCTCACTCTCACGGCCTCACCGTGGTGGTGTCTGTGTGTGTGCAATGCCTCACTCACACAGCCTCACCGTGGTGGTGTCTGTGTGTGTGTGCATTGCCTCACTCACACAGCCTCACCGTGGTGGTGTCTGTGTGTGTGCATTGCCTCACTCACACGGCCTCACCGTGGTGGTGTCTGTGTGTGTGTGCATTGCCTCACTCACACGGCCTCACCGTGGTGGTGTCTTCTGTGTGTGTGCATTGCCTCACTCGCACTGCCTCACCGTGGTGGTGTCTGTGTGTGTGCATTGCCTCACTCACACTGCCTCACCGTGGTGGTGTCTGTGTGTGTGTGCATTGCCTCACTCGCACGGCCTCACCGTGGTGGTGTCTGTGTGTGTGTGCATTGCCTCACTCGCACGGCCTCACCGTGGTGGTGTCTTCTGTGTGTGTGCATTGCCTCACTCGCACGGCCTCACCGTGGTGGTGTCTGTGTGTGTGCATTGCCTCACTCACACAGCCTCACCGTGGTGGTGTCTGTGTGTGTGTGCATTGCCTCACTCACACTGCCTCACCGTGGTGGTGTCTGTGTGTGTGTGCATTGCCTCACTCGCACGGCCTCACCGTGGTGGTGTCTGTGTGTGTGTGCATTGCCTCACATTAGAGAATTGGTGCAGTGGCGTTTCGCTGATCCCTTGCGTCTGTTCATACAGATATCCACCCGTGCAGGAATGCGCATTCACGGCGAGCGCAATCGTCTGCGTGCGCTACGACACCTGGCCACCGATCACGGCCAACACCGATCATTTGTAACCGGTCCCGGACCTCCCCTAGGTCGACTCCGCCTCAAATGTGCACCCCGGTGCGGTGCGTAGTAAAACATCGCCACGAGGGAGACAAAGGCGGCCGGGCGTGGTGTTGGCCACCCATCCTACTCGTGTGCCATGTGCCGGCCTTTATAGGTGCTCGCCCAACAGCACTTGCCCCTACAGTCTGTGAAGGCTACACGGTGGGGGGGGGGGGGTCTTTGTCTTTGTCGCCTCGCTGTGTGTGCCGGGTTGCGCTAAGAGCAGTGATGAGATGTGTCCCCGTGGTCCACGTTGTGTGCGCTTGCAGGAGTCGCATTATTCTTTAGCTCTGAAATGCCTTATCACGTTATCGACCATCATTCTGCTCGGATTGGTCGTCGCGTACCACGCCAGGGAGATCCAGGTACTCGCGGTTCTCCTCGCTCATCACCTCGCCCACTCCACGATCTCAGTGTCCTGTGTTACGTGCGCTCAAAATAACACGCCTTCACAAAGGTCACATTTCACCATTTATCAATTATCAAAGATACACGATGTACAATCTACGCATTGAATATTGTGAATGCATGACCTCTGTACCCGAACAAATTGAACTGCAGTACATTGCATATAAAGCTGAATTAGCAGTACCAAATGGACGCAACTCCATCTGTCCGTCTGTCATAGCCCTTGATTGAGCAATATGCATCGTACATCATCCAGGCAGGGTTCATTCCCGTTGTAAGAACCTGGCAATACTCTGGATTGAATCTGGACCTTGTACGGCGAGGATCTTTTAATAAGATGCAAAAAGCCGCGACCGTCCGCTTCCGAAGTATTTGCACAGCGCGTTTCACGCAGCAGGCCACGTAAGTGCTCGTTGAATGTGAATGTGTCTGGTAAGCGGTGAGTTTGCCCTTGTCATTGGTGAGGATCGAGTCTTTGCGATGATGAGTGGTGTCATCATCTGGATAGTGAGGATCAGCCGGGTGGTGAGTGTAGCCAACAGGGGAAAGGTAGGGACGTCAGTTTGAGGTGCAGGGCCCGAATGTGTAATAGCCAACAGGGAGTGAGCAGGGTGGAGACGATTCATCCTGGCCATTGGATGCGCTGACTTGCAGTGCACATACCTGTCAACCTCTTATCAGTGCCTACCTTATTGCAGACCAATTCAGACCTTGTTGGTCATCCCGTGCCCCTTATGAATCTCTACGTTCATCCTACAAAGTCCCACAACAAGGGAGAAACACAAAACAAATAACATACATGTCAACCCCTTATCAGTGCCTACCTTATTACGGACCAATTCAGACCTTATTGGTCATCTTGTGCCCCTTATGAATCTCTACGTTCATCCTACAAAGTCCCATCACAAGGGAGAAACACAAAACAAATAGACAAAAAATGTTGCCCGTATTGAAACGGCTGTATGCCGTATGGACCTGAAAACTCAATTTCCCTGTACAACAATATGGGTAAACCGTGTGGGTGTATTTAGAACTTCATGTGTTTGTCAGGCCATCAGTGATTTACCACGTTTATTTGGGTAATTGACATCACATATGGCCCAGTGAGGCCGTAAAAAAAACAATCCTGAATAAATCCCGGAGCCTATGCAATTGATTCTGACCTTCAGACCAGTTGTGGAGTTGTGTTGCTGGATGAAGCACACGGTTATATTCTGTGTACTTAATGCCACCTATACCGTCTCAGTTAGTACTCGTAGGTTCGTGGTGTGTGTGGTGGGTTTTGAGTGTCAGTTGAGGTGGAGAGTGTCAGGTGACCGGTGATAATCGAGTGAGTGTCAATTGAAGGTCAGATGAGGGTCACGTGAGTGTTGACATCACTCCATCCGAAAGACGGGATAGCCAATAGTTAAGCTGTACGTATCTCTAAGCAGTTCATTTGTGTAATGAAAATATTAGCAATAATACGTTTGTCTACATTATAAAGTATACGTCGGAATACAGTACTGTTATTGCAAGCTCTGTATTATTTAGCACTTCCAAGTTTGTTGCAATTGCACAAAAATGGCAGTGCTATTTTAAGCACATTCCATACGTACAATTTCAAATATATGCAAATTTCCCTGTGCATTTGATTGTACAAAACTTAAAGGTTGGAATACTGTGCAGTCCTATATTCTGGAATACACACACACACGAGCAAAACAACAACTGCACAGAATTACATATCGTTTAGGTGCCTTAGATTTTTGCAATGTGATATCCAACAGCTGGTTTCGGGGAGTTCCATCAAGGACATCCATTTGCCGTGGGCCTCTGAAATGTAGAATACCGTACTGTATTTGAGACTCGGTGCTGAAATATAAATTCAGGTTAATGTTGCAGTTTAATTTCAAATTGGGCTTTTTTTTCTAAATCATTCAATGAAATGTTCATATCCATGCATTTTTATTAACATTCGAGTGTTATAGATTCACTTTGATTGTTTTAGAGTGGTAATTATTTCTCGCTTTTTCATGTTCCAAGAAATATACAATTGGACACTCCCAGTTGGAAACAGTACACCAAAATGAATCATTTTCAGAACGAACCGCAAAAATATGCATAATTAAAGGTTTATTTTTTTTATAATTAATTGTACCAAGTTCAAGTTTATTTTGTTAAACCAGATGAGAACTCAAGAAACCAGGATAGTCTCATTTGCAAAGATACCTGGAGCATTCGTCTGCCATTAAGGGGCTATGATTGCTATGATTCTAATCGAATAATGATCGAATTTGGCAAATTTAAACCCTCACACCAGCACACAATGGCCTAATCTTGCGTGTGTCGTCAAGGGAGCTTGAACGTCTGCCGTCAAACAGACAGAGCGTCGTATTATTACGGTTATGACACCTGCAGTAATAATCAGGGTGGCCACTGGATTCTGACCATGAACCTTGGAAACAACCAGTGCACCCTCTACTGCTAGGCCATTTCCACGGCCATGCCAAAAGTATATCACCATTCATCGTCCGTAATACCATCGCAGACTGATATACATTATAATGATGGTTTGAAAAGGCTGGAAAGTCAAAATTTCAGTACTCTAGCATGCTTATTACTCTATTTACAATTAACTTTAGATTGACAGTAGTAAATGAAAGTTAATTGAAAGATCTATAGGAAAGGCCCATGTATACTTATTTCAAAAACGTGCTTACTTGCGAACAGGGTAGAAATGTGTTTGTCATTTATACAGGGTGGGTTAAATGCTGTATTTGCCCTGCATGATAATATATTCTGTCTACTGGAAATAGTAACTTATTTATAATGTGAATATATTTTAAGAACAAAAATAAGCTGCACATGATGGGATACCATCTCATTACAGATGCACTTTGATTCTAAAATCTGAAAACCAACATTAAATTTAGGCCCCCCACAATTGTCAGAAGTGTTGTATGATTACATCGTCCTACGTATGTTTGTATCTCGAGGTGATCAGCAAGTAGTATGCATTGATGAAAAGCTTTCTTCTTTTTCAGCCACGTCGCTATCCTTACTTTTCATTACCTACTTAGCTTCCCTGAAGCACTCCAACCCGCTCTTGTTTGCCTATTTATTTAAAAGTTTTAATTTTGGTCACTTTCCACAGCTGTCCCAGGTGCACATGTTCAACTGTGTTTCCCAGTTTTGTCCCTCTGACCTCTATCTCCATTTGTTTTGCGAACTTGTTGCACGTGACCGCTGTTTTGCGGAGGCCCAACGTTGCATCCGCCTCCACTAATTTCTTCAAACATTTTCTGCAGATCGTTCTCAAAAGGACGTCCTCGTGACTGTGTCATGAGAAATCTGACACGGTTAATGTTTTCTCCATTAATGTGTCGGCATTTATTTCTCTAATTTAATTCACAAATTATCTTCTAATGCCACTGAATAGCTTTGGAGAAAGGGACTCCCCTTTTAGTTAGTATTTTTTGGTACTTTATGTAATCTCAGTGCAGCTATTCCATTTTGATAAACGGTTATGATTTGTTTTATGTCATACACAGTACTAAGCATCATACAATCATCAAATGTGTCTAGCTGCAATACCTTTATTCTTCCAAATAATTCATAGCCTGAATCAAGTTCCTCGGAAACATTTCTACATCACCTGCCTCGTTCTTCTCTCTCTGTAACAAAATAAAAAGCAGACATTACTCCACATATCTGACCCTCCATGTAAAAACAAGTGATATTGTTTTTAAATATACTTACATATTTTACACATTACATAAGTCACACGGCCTTCTGGGAGTGCATCATTTCAGCAGCATTGGTTCAAACACAAGCAAACTCTGGACTGATCTTGACACTCGGTATCTCCAGCAGTCAGGCTTGCTTCAAGTAATGCTGGTGAATTGGCAGACATGGCTGCTTTTAAGCACGCTTTTGTTTAAAAAATAATTGCGGTGTCCTGAAAAATAATTCGTTTGGGGTGTCTTGCGGATTGTCGGAGGAATTAGCTGCTAATAATCCATGGCCTTTCGGTGGATTATTGGAGTTTTTTTCCGTTCCCGGAAGAGGATCGGAAAATCCGCACAAAACTCGTGGATTTTCTGATCTTCGCCTTTGTGGATTATGGGAGTTGCTGTGAACCGCAGGAGCGCTGTGAATGCTGTGAATCGTGGATTACTGGAGTGCGGGTATTTGGAGTTGTACTGCACTTGCATCAGCTCAGCAACCTCATGCAGATGCATGTAATCGCTCTGGTAGTCTTGGGCAGCTTGAAGTCAACTCCCTCAGTGCTCGTGTTTTCTATGAGCTACAGTCTACCTTTTATTTAGTTATAAGAGTAGGTGGAGCAAGCACCTACTTAACCTACCCGTTAGGGTGGCATGTGCACTAACGGCCAATCAAGGCCAAGCACAAGAAGCACACGTGACATGAATCTGTAAATCAGGCTATTAAACTGATTAGCCCAGTTCTTGACTCATGTGCATGCCAGTTTTCCCACATTTGTTAAGCCTCGCCAGAAACAATTCCCAGCTGTGTCCAAGCTCAAGAGCTCATTCCACTTTACTGGTGACATGCGGGCAATGTTTCTTACTCTGTTACAATAACATACATTACATTAAACATGCAGCGTGTAACACAATATATAACTTAGAATAATTGTGGAATCTATGCTTTTTCTGAGAAACAGAACTCCAATGTTTTTTTTTTACCATAGGCGCTGCCTCTGCTAAAATCAATGGGGAAAACACAAGTACTGTATGCAACACCACCATTGGTAACAGAGCGGCGAGTGTTTCCATATCTCCGTGTTTCTCTCTGCGTATCTCCACGTATTTTTGCATATCTGCCTATGTCTCTCTCCGTGTCTCTGTCTCTCACCGTGTCTCTGTCTCTGCCACCATATCTGTGCCCTTTTATCTTTGTGTTTGTTTCCTCGTCTCCATGAGTCTTAGTGTTTAGTATCATGCCATATGTC